CACGATGACAGGCCGCTATTCTACAAAGCACGTTTGTTTGGATATGGCGCAAGTTGGCGATAAGTGAGTCCAACCTTTCGTAATTTTTGAGAGTTACGAGGAGAAATTTTCTGGTATTGCACAACGCCAACAGTATAAATAAAGCTATTTCTAGCACAAGGTTTACTTTCTATCGTTGTGTTCGTTGTCTTTCGTAGTTAGCACTGTTGTCGGGATATTCTAAATCTTCCATCATGGTCTATTGTAGCGCTGAGTAGTATAGGGCGCACCGGTTACTCCGTTTTTTTGCGCAGGAATCTCATTAGCGTGCGCAGGAATACATTAACTAGGTGACTTCATAGGCTATTGTCTTGATCTTATGAATAAAATGCTGTGGTATTTCATTAACTTGCGGGGGAATAAATTAACGCAGATGACGTCATGCATCTCATTAAGATAGGATGATGTCATAGTTTAAATTAACGTAGATGACGTCATAGGCTATTGTCTTGATCTCATGAATAAAAGGTGCGCAGGAATACATTAACTAGGTGACGTCATAGGCTATTGTCCTGATCTCATGAATAAAATGCAAAATTTTTTTACCCCGTTTCCCTCCTCCTCCACCTCCTCCTCCTCATTTGTATTGTTTTCCCTCCTCCTCCTCCTCCTCCTCCTCCTCATTTTTATTGTTTTCCTCCTCCTCCTCCTCCTCCTCCTCCTCGTTTCTATTGTTTTCCCTCCTCCTCCTCCTCTTCCTCCTCCTCCACCTCCTCATTTTATTGTTTTCCCTCCTCCTCCTCCTCATTTCTATTGTTTTCCCTCCTCCTCCTCCTCCTCCTTCTCCTCCTCTTCCTCCTCATTTCTATTGTTTTCCCTCCTTCTCCTCCGCCACCTCCTCATTTTTATTGTTTTCCTTCCTCCTCCTCCTCATTTTGATTGTTTTCCTCCTCCTCCTCCTCATTTTTACTGTTTTCCCTCCTCCTCCTCCTCCTCCTCCTCCACCACCACCTCCTCCTTATTTCTATTGTTTTCCCTCGAAAAGGCCAAAATCAGGCCTACAAGGCCAAACTCAAATGTGATGTTCTGATTTTGGCCTTTTCGAGGGAAAACAATAAAAATGAGGAGGAGGAGGAGGAGGGAAACCAATAGAAATGAGGAGGAGGAGGAGGAGGAAAAACAATAAAAATGAGAAGGAGGAGGAGGGAAAACAACAGAAATGAGGAGGAGGAGGTGGAGGAGGAGGGAAACGGGGTAAAAAAATTTTGCATTTTATTCATGAGATCAAGACAATAGCCTATGACGTCATCTACGTTAATTTAAACTATGACATCATCCTATCTTAATGATATGCATGACGTCATCTGCGTTAATTTATTCCCCTTAAGTTAATCAGATACCACAGCATTTTATTCACGATATCAAGACAATAGCCTATGACGTCACCTAGTTAATGTATTCCTGCGCACGCTAATGAGATTCCTGCGCAAAAAAACGGAGTAACCGGTGCGCCCTATACTACTGAGCTGTGGGTTGCAATAATGATTCTCGATATGTTGGTATTAAGCAAGGGGTAAGCTACCACAAATTTCCCACTGATGGTAAGCTCTTGAAAGAGTGGCTTGCGAAATTATCCCGGCTAGTTCTTGTTGTTACAAATGATTCCAGGGTATGTTCGCTTCACTTCGAACCTGAATGCTACGAGCGTGACCTAAAAGCTGAACTTCTTGGACTTACATCTACCCAACGTAAGTTGAAGCTAGATGCAGTGCCAACAATTTTCGACCATCGTCCGAAAAAGAAGCCGAGACTATCATCTGAGAGGCGCCTCCAGGAAAAATCTAAACAAGAGGTAAGGATTGTCAACTTATATTGAAAGAAAAAAAAGAGTTTGCGTGCTAATGTTATGGTAGACTATTATCCGCGGATGTTGATAAACGCGGTCACGCAATGTTAAAACCTGCAATAATGAAAAGGCCCTTTGCTGTATTTTCTCATTGGAATATTAACCATTTTCTAAATCTGGGGTGCTAATAGAGGCTAATTCCTTCTATTACAGTTCATTAGCTCTGTGTCATCCTCTCACCCTGCCCTAGCTGTTGCTGTTGGAGAACCTAGTACTTCAAGTGTATGTGACCAAACAGCCAGCCCCAGTGAACAAGTTCTTGAGGAACCTGAGAATGTGAAGATCGCATCGGTTCCTACTAGCTCGCCTGTAGAGACGCATGATTTTGGATGTCAGGTTAACACTCGAGGAGAGAGTCTTATGCTCAAATCAGTAGGGGACCCAAACACCTGACTTCTCTGGTCTTTGTGACCAGTACACTCAGACCTAACCAGGGCTTTTTGATGGGGAAGCCTGGTTCTCTAACACTGAAGAAGAACAAGGCAGTAAAAATGAGAGTAGTGAAAATGTATCCCCTCACAAAGACCCATCTTATATCCCCTCTAAAAGTGATGAAAATGATGATGAGGAGGAGGAAGAAGTTTCAATGACAGTACCATCAAAGTTGAAACATCAAACTCCCCGAAATGAGAGCAAATTCCCCTTATTTATGGAACAACTGGATGAACGTTTGCATCGATTCCCTACATGTAGGGCAGTAGTAAGCAAAAGAGAAACGTCCACTCGGGGAAAACAACTATGTGTTACGAAGATAACTATGTGTTACCCACCTGAAATGTAAAAATGGGCACACAAAAATTTGGAAGAATCAACCCATGCTCAAAGGGATGGCTGCCGGAAACTTATCACTGGCTTCAGCAATTTTACTAAGTGGAGCAACATACACAAAAATAGCATCTTTATCTGAAATTTTGAACTGGAAAATTTTTAGCGAAAAGACATTTTACAACATTCGAAACATGTACTTATTTCCTGTATTAATGAGGCTTGGCAGGCGGAACAAAATTCTGTTTTCAGTGAGCTTGAAATTGAAGACCTGTGGCTGTCTGGAGATGGTCGATGTGACAGTCCCGGACACAGTGCTAAATATGGGACATACACCATGATCGATCAACTCAGCGACAAGATAGTTTGACTTTCAAATTGTTCAGCTTAGTGAGGTGACCAGCAGCAATGCAATGGAAAGGAAGGGGTTCAAAAGGTGTATGGAGAATATTCATGACAGAGGAGCCAACATAAAAGTAGTTGCCACAGATCGCCATGTCAGTATACGGTCTGACATGAAAAAGAATTTTCCACATGTGCAACACCAGTTTGATGTTTGTCATGTGGCAAAAAGTATCACCAGAAAACTCACAGAAAAGGCCAAGAGGAAAGAATGTAGTGAACTTTTCCCCTGGATCAAGTCAGTCTCTAAACATCTTTGGTGGTGTGCAGACACTTGTGAGGAGGATAAGAATCTCTTACGTGAGAAGTGGATCTCCATTGTCCACCACTCAGCCAACATCCACTCATGGGACAGTGCTGACTTGTATCAGGAATGCCCCACCCACCCATCCCTAGAGACGAGACAAGGACAAAGCGGTGGCTTCGTCCTGACTCTCCTGCACCTGATGCTCTTAAGGAGGTTGTTTTTGACAAAACCCTCCTGAAGGACATCGAGCAATTAACATTAAACTGCCACACTGGAAGTGTACCACAGTGTACAACTGAAGTACCTTTCCAAAGCGGCAGCACTTCTCACACAAGGGCATGGTTGCTCACACACAGTTAGCAGTCCTCGATCACAATGCTAACACTGGGAGGCAGCAAGCTACTGTTTCAAGGGGCGAGAATGAGAGGGGACTGAGGTACAAGGTCGTTTTCCCAAAGCAAACGAAGGAATGGGTTGCAAAACAACAAGAAGACAACAAGAGAACACTTAAAACCCATACTTGATTCAATAGTGGCAAGGAAGTTGCAAGATGCTGCTGATCGGAGCGCAACACTCACAGCACCTCACATCCTACGCAACATTGCTACAAAACCTCTGCCTGCCAAAGCAGATGTCATTGCAAAGCACACATCAAGATTTCCTGATTCTATATAAACACAAATACATATTTTATTGTTGTAATACCACAAAGTACAATGTATGTATAATACAGGTTAGCTTTAAGTGTTTTGATTGAATTCAATTATATTATTTGGTTGTTCTATCAATCTTAATCCTTACTCGCTTGGGAGTGGCCAAACTCTAGTCCAAAAATTTTCAAACTCTAATCTGTCAATTCACAAAAAAGGACTTATTTTCACCAGTAAACAGATGTACCTGAAGAGATTTCACTTGAATGGCCACCTCAGTTCTACCTGAAGAAATTTCACTTGAATGGTCACCTACCGACTTTCATGCACAGAGTTAAGATCCATGATTTAAAATTACATTGACTCTAGGGAGAATAAGGGTTAAGATAAATATTTACATGCCAAGATTGCATCAAATGCTTTAATCATTTTTATTTCACTGATAACAAATGCTGCTGATTGCTTATACAAAATTGCTTTATTTAAATACTGAATATTATTGGATTATTATGACCTAAAAATTTTCCATAACTGTTTTGCAGCCTACAGGATTTCACTTATAATAAGAAAATGCTGCTGATTGTCCGGTCAAGAATTTCTTTTTGAAAAATACAGAATATTATTATTAAAACTCGCTGAAATATTTCAATTAATATTTTGCAACCTTGTAATTATTCAATAACCAAATACTTTAAATGTAAAAGGACATGCAACAAAATGAATTGAAGCAAGACATCACAATTTTTATACAGATAAGCTTAATTTGTAATTTTTTAGTTAGACAATGTACATGCATTTGCGAAGGATGAAACGATCTGCAAGGATTTTTATGCCCAGTTGTCATAAGGTAAAACAATGTTTACACGCCAAGACCAGGATTTTTTACCTTGAAACTAACTTAGCTCGAGTTCTGCTTCCTTGAACCCGGCATATTGTCCAGTTTCCGCAGGAAACTGGTGTCGATTGGCTTTCACAACACACGCTGGAATCACTCGCCGATTTTTTTTTCCTAAGGCGCCATGTGTCCACGATGTAAACTGGCGATAAGCTGCTAAGCGCCAAGTTCTAGGAAAATTGAAAAAGAACAATAAGCTTAAATAGAAAATATTTCATAAAGTACAGAGTACATGCTTGCTGGTACGATCCTTCGGGTAAAAAAAAAAAAAAAACAAAAGCAACAACTCACCTGTTCTCAATGAGATCCGGCAAGGGATTACAGCGTATGTTCTGAATTGCACGAGAGCAGTATTTAACACGTCAGTATCAAGGCAAAAAATCCTGAATTTGGCGTGCTCCGTAATACATCCAACTCCTAACGGAAAAAAACAAATAATAATCCTTTTGACCGCGATAATAATCCTTTTGACTTTTGGTCCTTGTCAGTATTCTTATAATGTACACATCAAGGGAAAAGAAGCAACCTAAAAGAAAAACAAACCTGATTCATCGAACTTTTGATTCAGTTCCTCAACTTCTTGGCAACAAAAACACTCTTCGTCCGTTGCCATTGCCTCGCACTCTTCACAAGAGCTCCATTCGGTGCTGTCGATTCTTCGTCTCGAATCTCGTTGACTTGTATCACCTGACACACTTTCTTCCTTCAGATCGATTGGTTCTTGGCCAGGAGGATACGTGGGCTCAAACTGAAATGGTTGAACTCCGCTCATTACGCTAAATCGATATTTACGCTGCGAGGAGCCGAGGACATCCAAAGGTTGATGCTATAAGTACGCGCTATTGTGCGGTTTTGAGCCTTCCCCATACCTTACGTCATAACGTGCCGCTGACAGTTAAGATGAGCCCACGATGATCAAACCCGAAAGGCGCGAAAACCAAGGCTTCAAGCCGATTTTTTGAGCAAAAAATAATAAATGAACCGGAAGAAAGAGCAAAACTCAATTTTTTACACCTAGAGCGACCTAAAAAAAATACAAAAATGGAAGGATTTTTTACTTCAGTTCTCCTTTAATAGAGTTATCATTTACGCTTCAACATGATCATAGAGAATTTGCTATGTTTAGGGTTTATTTCCCTTTATTTATTTAAACTGTTTATGGTTTTGTTACGTGCAATCTTTAAAAGCGAGTGATATTTACGCGCGCGATTTTGAGTACTCCTGCATGTGAGATGTTTATGTTCGACTGAAAACGACTGGCGCAGCGATAAAAAATGCGAGAGGGACTACTAATGATCAATAAAATAAATATTATTTGGTGAAACATGTACAGAGACAATAATTTCATTCACTAAGACAAGTATTGAGAGTAAAGTGTCTCTGAAAATCATGAGTCAGGTAAGCATAAGCTTAAGCTTATTTATGTTTTAAACCGGCTTCCTGGTGTTCTCTATTTTTCAAGATGAACTGGAGGCAAGAACTCACCTGTCAAATTTTGATCAATCAGAGCATAGAAATTGGACTTAGAGCGTGACCAACGCGTGACCATGGTGAGAAAAGTCAAAAGCATGTGAAGGCTGGTTGAATTTTTGCGTCCGAGGTCAGTTTGAAATCAAAATTTTTAAAGTGCGGCTCATGAACACGACTTATTTCATATGCATTTTAAAAAAATTGAACTTGAGCCTGCTATCATTTGAAAAGCAGCAACTTGTCAGCAGATAACTTCAAAAAAACACTCGAACTCAGTGGGTGGATACCTGAACCTGCGATACAGTCAGGCGATACTGGTCAGCAGATACACTGTTTTGACAGCTGTCAATTGATCAAAACATGGATGTACAATATCAGGTTGCAGGCTCCCAAACTAGCCAGAAAGTGTGAAATTAAACATTGGTATGCCTGTGGTGCGGACGGACGGAGGGTCGGGTGGTCGGTTTACGGTCACGTGATTTCCAAATGTTCTAGGATGGATAGATTTTCAGAGCCATGGGGCTCCGCTCAAAATATAGAATTGAGCCCGTGATCAAATAAAATATCAGCGGAAAACTTTAAAAAAGTG